GGTAGTAAGGCAATAATGTACTGCCAATGACAATAAAAGGCTTTTGCAAAAATATGCTTGTGTAGGAGGAAATTTAAATTTAGTGAAAAGCATCATGGCAAACAGACCAATAAATGGCTAAACCACCTACAGTAATTCTGGGTTGCAACCCATAGGTTATATGGCAAATAGGTTTGACAGAAGTGTCTGAATTTTATTATTTGTGTTATGAATAGCAAATACAAAGCAATAAAAGCTGATTGCTTCAATTTTAATTAAGGTTCTTTTAATTAACTCAGCCATAATAATAAACTGTTCTGGGCACCATGGTGTTGGTATGGCAATAAGCACTGCTGCCTCGCATTGTCAGGATTTTGCGTTTGAGTATGGGTGTCTGGCATCTGTTAATTTGGAGTTTTTCCATTCATATTTTGTCTGTTGGTTTTCACACTGTGCTCTCATTTTCCCTCATCTCCCAAAATGTTGTTTTCCCCACCCCACTTTACTTCCTGTGTTTCTGAGATAAATTGTATCTTGCCGTGACCCTTGTCATGGTAAGAGGTTTTCTGATAGAAGAGATTTATAAAAAAAGGTTAGGCACTGAAAGAGCACCTCCTAGTTTTTTGCGGACCTTGTATGGGAAAATGTGTCACCAAGTCTTTCACCCTTCATTTCCATGAGCTCAATAATAACATGAAAGTTTTCAATATTCAGAATTGAAGAGTACAGTTACCCTGCTCAAACCTTCAACTTAATATAGCTCTGGGGTCAAATGACCGTTGAATGTCATCTGTTCAAAATATCAAATCAGAGATTCCAAATGATCTTTAGTCTCTAAACTTGTTTGTCATGTCAGCAGTTGTTTCCTTTTCAGTGTTTTTTCTAGTCTTACCCTTGTAATACTGTCATGGTTGCCTTGTCATAAATGTGTGCAAGACACTTCACACGAGGTGCACATGGAAAGTTGATGTGATGATATTGTCATTCACAAGCAGAAGTATTTTCACAATTATTTCAAGCTTCAGTGTTAGCTCTGTCACCTCAGGCATGCATATTCTGTAATAGTCAGCATATGGAATGTTTCTAATTTTTGGACACATGAAAAGTGGAAAGCCTAACTTATAAACTCAAGTGCCTTTAAACACTAGACTGTAGTGCACTGAAGCTATTTGGTGACCCATCATTCTCCCCACCACTTTCCATTTAATTGAATTCAAAATTGAGAAACGTTATTGCTGTGAAGGTTAAATTAGAAAAGACAAATGACAAATCTCAGAAGAATGCCTTGAAATAACTACTGTAGGTAATGAAAAAAATCAATAATAAAGAAAGCAAAGTATTGAACAACCTTATAAATGTCTGCTTTTAAATAGTACTGTATGTACAATTTCTAACCAACACAATGTCATTTATCATTTATAAACGTGCTACTGGATAAGTGCATACACGGTAAATATACAGTTTATAGACTTAACAAATCAGATATTTTTCAACAGTCCATGCATCACACTGGAGATAAATTACTGTATTTTATAGGGTACTTTACAGCATTAACTGACAGTCAATTGTACAGAGCTAAAGAGGTCATTCCACCCCAAAACGAGAGTAATTCTTGAACCTGCATTTTGAACAAGAATAAAGGAGCTCCCTGTGGTAGTGCTCCCTCCAATCAAATACTGCATGCTCTTTGAATGTGCTCTCAGATTGTCTATCCAGCTCAGTTCTTATCTTCTGCACACCAGATACCAGGTATCTGTCCTCTGCTAGTTCTGATCTTCTCTGAATTTATGCAGTGATTGACAGTTTGACAGTAAAATTCCATTCACGCAGAGTCTGTATTTGAAATCTGAAAAACATCCCCTGACAGGGTCAACAAGAACATTGCTCTCAGGTTTTAATACTATACAGCCAGTCAGCAATGAGGAGGAAAAGTATACAGGGTTGGCAGCTTGGCTTGCTTCTCATTTATAATGGATAATTAAAAGGCTACAAAGGCAAGGGGAGGAAATCTGGATCCATGTCCAAGTGGAAAGGTAACTTTGAATCCGGTTTTAGAAACAAATCTCAGTTGTATAGTAACGAAAGGGCAATTTTCCATGTCTGTTCAGTCTTTGATTGGTGCGTAGCCTGGTATACCCATTGTGTTTTGCAGTGGTTATGACCCAAATGTTTTAAATAACCACTTAGTTTACTGCAGGATCAAGCTGAAGTCTAACCTGGCATACTGTATATTAGGTAGGAGGCAGGACACTTTCTAGGTGAGGTGCCTTTCCGTCACAGGGCTCACACATGCATTTACTCTCTCGTGCAAACAGAACACTTTATTAAAACATATAAAAGATCTCTTTGGGCTGTGGAAAGAAACCTGAGCATATGGAGTAAACTCAAGTGGCCCCACAGAGAACATGAAAACTCTGAACAAGAGACTGAATATTGACGATCCCTATCTAAAAATAGTCATCTGTATTCACAAGTAATGTTTCGCACATTGTTTCAAAGGTATTATTTTATTATAGATTTTGCCTTCAATCAAGCAAACTGTGATGTGTTTGCAGTTCAGGCTATCTGTACAAAACTGAAAAGGTCCTCCTAGGCTTAATTTCTGTGCTGAAAAAAATAATAGAGAAATTAACGTATAGGAGAGCCATGGCTGAGATTGAAGCACTGGACAAAGCTCAGTTTCTTCAAGCATAAAAAACCACTTGGTGCTGTAGAATGCCATTAGTTTCCCAATGCACAATGTTCTGTTACCTTAATAATAATAATAATAATAATTGCTTACACTTATATAGCGCTTTTCTGGACACTCCACTCAAAGCGCTTTACAGGTAATGGGGACTCCCCTCCACCACCACCAATGTGCAGCATCCACCTGGATGATGCGACGGCAGCCATAGTGCGCCAGAACGCTCACCACACATCAGCTATCAGTGGGGAGGAGAGCAGAGTAATGTAGCCAATTCATAGAGGGGGATTATTAGGAGGCCATGATGGGGTAAAGGCCAGGGGGGAAATTTGGCCAGGACACCGGGGTTACACCCCTACTCTTTTCGAGAAGCGCCCCGGGATTTTTAATGACCGCAGAGAGTCAGGACCTCGGTTTTACGTCTCATCCGAAGGACGGCGCCTGTTTACAGTATAGTGTCCCCGTCACTATACTGGGGCATTAGGACCCACATGGACCGCAGGGTGAGCGCCCCCTGCTGGCCCCACTAACACCTTACGCTGTTAAGTGTGGTTTTCATTGAATCAATCAATAAAATGTTTTATATTTTTGTTGCTTGCTGTACATGAATCACAGTTTTCCTTATATTTCTAATCCATCTGCACTTCAACTAAGAAGTGTCTTATCATCTAGCAAAAACATAGCTTACTGAGACTGATCCTTATCTTTTATGCTCAGAAAATACGTTCTTAATAGCCAAAGTCGCTTTAGTTTGCAAACTGGAAGAAGCTCTGTACACATCCTGACAGGTATCATAAACTGTGATTTGACAAACAGGTTTCCTTCCCTTTAAATTTTCAGTTTCTTTTTCTCCTTGTGAAGGTAGTAATGAATCACACAGAAAAGTTGCAAATTTTGGGTTAACAATTTAGAAATATCAAGAAGATAGATTATATCAACTCCTCCTTCAAAGGTCAAATATAAAACTGCATGCATTTAAAGTTAATTAGTGTCACTTACATTAAAGTGCAAAACACTTAATTAAATAAAAATAATTAAATTTGTGTTTGATTGGCTGTTACTTGCTTAACAAAGTTTAAGGTATTTTCATTTGTGCATTTATAATCTAAAAATTATAGTTATTGTTTTCACTATTTATAGGCAAATAAAGCAGTCATAAAACAAATATTTTTTTTTAAACAGAATTTTTGTTCTGTAAATCTGTGTACATTTAATATATCTGAGTTGTCATGGCAACAAACTGGTTAATACAACTTCTAGTTTTTGTACTTTTAGATTAATTTTTTAATCTCTGTCCCTCTGCAGCTGCATGGTGATACAACCCCTACCCCCATTAATTTTCCCCATTCACCATTATTTAACAGTATGTTCATACTAATCGAAGATAACCCAAGTAGTGTATCTACTTACAATTCAATAAATCACAGTTTTCTAAGTATTTTACATGTACAGTATAAACCTAGCACTGTATCCAGTTACAGTACATTAAATCACACTGGCTCTCTACCTACAGAATGTGTGAAAGGCTTTGGGAGTCTTTGGAATGAAAAATGCTATACAATTGCAAACAGATAACAATGCATACAGAAATTTTCAGTCACAGAAACACATCTTTAAAGTGTTCCACTGTACTGTAGGCCCCAATAAAAGTGTATCTATTTAACTTGATTCTAGTGTATATCCTTTTACTAAGGCACCAGTTACCAGTCCTGTTCTGGACACCAAAGTGTCTGCTGGGTTTTGTTTCAGCCAAGCTCTAAATTAAAGTCAATTAATTGAACATCAATGCTAATAAATGATCTGCTTGCTTGTTTAGATTTTTGTGGTTACCTTGTGTCTGCACTCAGTCCTGAGTTTCACAAATGCCCTATTTCAAGAGTACTGTATATTCCCAATAACTTCAGCATACGCAGCATACGGAACTTTAAGAACCCACTCGTCAACTTAAATGAGGTATTTCTGACTAAGTACCATGCACATGTGGCAATTCTGTCATTTGTACAGTACCTTTCAGAGTGAATAAAGGTCTTATTGGTGGCAGGTTCCTTATCTCCTAGGAAAAATATTAGCATGGCTCATTTTTCCAATGCAGTCCTAAGGATTTTATACATACACGTCAGGTAATGGTAGTGTCAGTAACCTTTTTTTGTTGTAATCATGGCTTGATAGTATTTTGCTCTAGTACAAGAACCAGCATGAACTACCATTCTGCCAGAACTGTAGTGGAATAAAATACTTCAAAGATGACCTTCAATAGAAAGATGTAACCTTGAGGTGAGTGCAGATGATTATTTTTAATATCCTGTCCTTGTGCCACTTGTTTCAGAAGTCCAGATCACTGATGGAAATGGAAGTGCAGTAGACTGAAAAGGATTTCCGAGAACGACACCTTTGACTCGACACATATAGGCCTTTCAAACAGTATAAACCCCAGAATGGATTATTTTTGAGGTTGCAAACTTATCAAAGTACAGCACTTCAACAGGTAACAATATTTTTTTCGTTATTATGTTTTGAAAACTTGCTACTGTACTCTTATGTTAGGCCTTATGGTTTGACATTGATAAATCCTTTTACTTTATTGAACTTTAATCATGCTTTATTAAGCTTTTTTCATATTTACAGCTTGTTTACAGCGTGGAATAGTTTAGGATAAAAATGCTGTAAACGTAGTATTATGTAGTACATTGTGTGTCATTGCATTTAAGTGGGTTTAAATTGTGGATCTCATCAAGGTACAGATTTAAATTATTTTGTGCTTTGCTGCATTTGTGTCCAATTATAGTATTGTTTGCTATAGATAGTGGTTGTCAAAGAGATTTTATTTCATTCAAATAATAACAAAGAAGCTTTGCTGTTTACCTTTCAGATATTAAACTTAAACATTTGACATTAATAAATGAAAAACTATTTTTTAAATAATCCCCATAAAATTTAGAACTACAGTATTAAACTAAATTTAATTTTAGCAGTGAGTTAAATTAATGTGATGGACAATCAGTACACAGAAAATCTGGCAAACACATATAAGCAAATGGTAATTTCCCTTTGTAGAACTTGTTTTAAATTACCTTCTTACTTTCTGCTGTAACAAGGAAGAGAAACTAATGTTTACTATGTTACTACAAAAAAGTTATGAAAAGCAGCCCCTACAACTAAAATCCATTTGGAAAAAAAAAACATTATTATTTTTTGTAACTAATCAATCATTCATGGCTCAAAATCATTATGAAACATTGCAGCTTGACTTGTGAGGATAATACTGTATGAGGAATAATTTTCATTCTGTTGTTAACAAAAGTGTGAATATCTGGTAACTCCCTATTTATTGTGATCTGCAAGCAGAAAATATGTTAATGTTTTCATTTTCTGTTTCTCTCTTAAACAAGGGGAAATCCTGTTTTTATCATCAGTTATCTTTTGCTGTTTTTAAACAAATCTACCATGTGTTTCTTAGACATTGATACTCTGCATATGGTATTTATTTCACTTTTCTTTAAAAAATAAGCTGTCAGCTATTTTTATATTTTATACCCTCACTTTCTGACATTGCCAGTTGTTAATGAACTCAGCATAATGATGGAACACCTACAGAGTGGCAGTAAGGATTGTACGTCTCTTCTTCAACATGCTTGCAGTTAAGCCATTCACCTGTATACAGTGTGACACACTGTGAACTACACTGCTGCCTTTTAGCACTTATAGGAGGAACAATGACAATAGTGCCAACTCATTGGAACCTGACAAGTCCCAGGGGTTTCTCTTGTACAGCAATCCAGTGGTGACTAGGGTAATTCAAGATCTCCTATTACTGGCAACTCTTGATCAGTTGTGTGCCATTATCTGGCAGGTTCCAGTCAAAACTAACTTATGACAACCTGGATCAGGCACCTCAGTCTGTGCTCCAAGCAAGCACACTTGGAAGCCTCTATGTACTGTATTTCACTTTTAAGGTGTAACAAACAGGAATGGTTTTAGATTTTAATATATAACATATATATATTTCTTGAAACCATTTTGGAAAATATCTTATGGGCAGTATATAACTATTGTTACTCTATACTGTATATGTTGACAGCCAAATGAAATTTTGGCCTATGTACATTCTGAGTCCAGTTATTAGTTTTTCAGGAATAGAAAATACATGGTACAGTATTACAATAATGAACAAATGTGAAAAATCTTCGTGGCACAACAGACTTGGTACCTAAACAAACTGTGTGAATCCAGCAATAATATAAAAGCAGGAATAAAGGAGTAGAATAAAGGAAACCAGAGATTTGGAAGAGATAAGTGAAGGAAAAAGAGGAAAGAAAGGTCTTTCATACAGTATGTCTGGGTCTAGCTGCAAGCTCTCAAAGAAGTTTAAAAAGGTCTGCCAGTCAGAATAAAATTTAGCATGTACTTAAACTAAGTAAACTAAGTTTCAGTTGCAGATTGGACAGTGGTGGTCTGGGTCAAATTATCCTAAGGCAAGAGATTTCCCATTCAAGGCAAGAGAAGTATACTGTATATAACACTTAATTCTAAGCATACTGTAGTAATAGACTTGCTGCTACAGTAGATTATTTAAATGTGTAATGTCTTGATAATGCAAAACACACATAAAATACTGTATACTGTATGTTAAAATTCAATATTACATTTAATTTAAATAACTAATAGACAGTTGTTTCAACCTTATTACAGCTCACAACGGTGGCATAGCTAACTGTGACCACTGAAGTGGAGGTATATACTGTACAGTATATGACATGGAATATATTTAAACAAATTCATAAGATAAATTTTCAATTAGAAAAGGTCTGGACTTTAAAAATCCATTACTAAAGTTTTCAGTTTTTTGTACAGCACACACATGGCATTAATCATTATGTACCTATACAAAGCACTGTGTGTGTTTGGTGATTGTTAGCGAAGGGCATATTTCTTTAGTGTGGTCCCAACATGTTGAATTGTTGATATACTGTAGTTGTCAGTATACAGTGTGTAACCATTATTTATAGTTTAAATTGGAAGTCAGATGTGGATAGTAGTGGATTTATTTTATTAAAACTTTGAATTGGGAGTGATTTATTTGATTTATAGAATACAGCATCAAAGGACAACCTTTTTTTTCTAGAAACAGAAAATATTCTGAGTGCGGGTATGTGTCCTTATCTGAAAACTCATATTAAGGAAATTGTCCACACGTAAACTTTGTAACTGAGGATCAGTTGTGTTACTAAGCATGAGAACATAATACAGTGCATTTTACAAAGGAGAGGAAAGATGTTCAGCCCAATTGACTGGTAGTACCTTGTCAAACCTAGTATCTAACCCAGCTACTCTTTAAAGGCTTTTCTTCTACACCAGCAGATGAGCTGAGAAAATATGTTTTTTGTACATTTATTATTAGAATTAGTCAAGTGATTGCCAGAAAATAACATATTTTGATAATAAAGTCTATTGCAAGCAGAGGCTTTCCGACTGAGCGAAGATAATTACATCTCTGAGTGACAAGCTCTTTCAGAATGTCTAATTCAGTGATGAAGAAAATCAGCTTCTGTTTCTTTGAATATTCCAGTGATTGAAGGATGCTGATTGATCCATCAATGGTCTTGGCTCTTGTGGTGATTGTATTTCTACAGTGAAATATGAGTGAGACTTAAGTTGTGGAGATCATTTGATATCATGCATTTTAGGGTATAAATAACTAAGTTTTGGTTTTATTTATTATTTTTTATTGTCTAAAAAGTCCCAGTCCTGTCCTTATGGAATCTATGAAATTATTTTTAATGAAATAGTTTTATTAGTTAGTTTCATCATTATAGAAAAACATTGCCAGTGAAAATTTTAAGAGTAAATTACTGCTCAGCAAGCACCAACACTGAAAGCATTACAATGATAGGGTTTTAAAAAACTCTTTAGAAATCCCAGATGATTTATAACACAGGAAATCATATTGAACTGTCTAATGCCTAATGGGGCAAGGATATTTTGTCTTATCCTTTACCATAAGATAAGGACATAAATCTGTTTGTAAGTCAAATCCTTTTTTCAGAAAAGTATGAAGATAGAAATTGTGTCACTTGTATTACTATAACTATAGGAAAGTCAATTTATGCTTATGTCATTTAAAAAGAGGATTCTATGTTGTTGAAATATTGATAGATTTTTTCCCGATTACTGCTTTTCTCATTGATTTTTTTTAGAAGTGCAATGCACCTACTCAAGTACAAGAATAAACAATAAAACTTTCAAAATGAAAAGGAAACTGCACATTGAAGATTATTGCATAAACTCAGTCTTCGTTTTTATGCTGTTGACACATTTATAACCAAACCAGAAACTTACTATACTGTAGATCTTTATTTCTAGTACTTCTCGAGTAATTTAACATGTTTTCTTTCTTCCAGCCAAAGGTACATATTTTATCACAGTGCCTCTAGTCAGTCATAGATAAAATTCTGTTTTAAGATCTGATAAGTGTTCAGTGTTAGCAGTCTTAAGCCACCAAAAATCAGATGTGAAGTCTTTGACAAAAATAAATTACAACATCCAGGACAGCAACATCCACCCTGATACCTGTTGTCAGATCTCACTAGGAGTCAAGGCAGTAAGAAATAGATTTCATCAAACTCTGAGAGGAGAGGAAATGAAATCTTAGACAAGAAAACAAGCGACACCTTCCCAATGAATTCTGCAATGCTGTTGACAGATCAGGTGAAAAAAAATAAAAAGTTATAGTAGCGTTTTCTTTAATGACTTTAATCATTTGAAAAGGCACCTGCTCAAAACTACAAAAAAATCCATACGTTGCTGTAAATTATAAAGGAGAATACCCATGATGTTTTAAATAATCAAAAGGCTTTTTTTTAGATAATCTGTGTTTACATTGCTGGCAACCTACCAAATTATCTAGGCTGAATACATTGTGGTTATTACTAGTTAGTCATATCACTTCTTCTGGCCAAAATTGAGAAAAGAGTATTGATGAATGATAGCTGTGGTCCACAATTATCCCCTAAGCCATACTATATATTGTGTGTTTTCATATAATAACCAATGACAAGTCTCTTATGTACAACCCTTATTGGCCTTGGTCAACATTTATTTGCTCTTTGTTCTAGTTGCTGTCCTTAAATACTTTTTTAGGCAGAAATTGACCACACTATATAAAATGCAATGGGTGATTAAAGAAAATTTAAAAAGCTTTTTGGCTTCAAATGAAGTCTGTAGTTTACAGAACGCTACAGTGTCTGAGGTATAGAAACCATGTAATTATTTCACAATTAGTTCAAGTTGTAAAAAAACTTCAAAATCCCACCAACACCTGCTCTAATTCATGGTTTTGTCAAACATAAAAATGTGTGAAAAATGTGGGTTAGGAGTACATCTTCCCTATAATAGAAAAAGCTACAGTAGGCACACTTGTTACCAGAATGACTTCATCCATCAGTTTGGCAATCCAATATTCGTTATGATATTTTTGGAAAGATATTA